GGGAAGGCAAGTGTGTGCATACCATGCCCACTGTGTGTTTAATTTAGTAAATGTTTTTACATATGGATGGCCCTACAAATATTAGGTCACCAATGAACCAGTTGCAAGAAGTACCTGTCTCACCTATTTACACTTTTCCTTGATTTTCAATATTTTCTAATATGTAATACCTTTTGTTAGTAATGTCCATAACAATAGTGTAATTATCGAGTTTATAACAAAAATAGCAGTATCAATAGTGATAGCATTTGTAAAAAAAAAGGCATTCATAAAATGCAATAAATTTATTTGGAAGTAATAATATCTACAATAAAAATATAGAGCTGTTAATGAACACAGAAAAAGCTACTTTAGCACAAAATAATTTTAGGACAATAACATTTCTGAAAAAAAATCAAAACAAATAGCATGCAAAATTATCTAATGTGATTATTAAGAAGATAATATGATGCATGTATGTATGTGACATTAGATACTAGTAGCAAGTTCTAACTGGTATGTTTAGATATATTCACAAATTTTAATAAAATACATACAAGAAAAATAAGAAAACAAAGAAAAAACATATTGCTTAGGGATAAAACACTGCCATACTCTGATTATATCTGGTATATATCCCAAAAAATTCTAGTCATTCATATTTTTGTCTTGAACACTGATCAACATACTACCTTCTAATTGAGTAAGACTAGACTTTCTGTGCAAAGGAAAACTTAATCCCTTGTCTTTATCATCTAATGCATTAATACATTGCACTGATGTGTCTACTTCTTTCATAGATATCTAACTTCTATTTCTATTAACACATATTTGTGTAACATTCAGGCATTTGTTTTTCTTTAGGAATGCAATATAATTTATGTATCAATCAGTCTACCACATAATATGATTATGAATCACATTACAGAAAAAAAAACTTGTTGCTGACTTTAAGCCAATAATGTGACTACAGGTTTGTTTATAAGGATCCAATGCAATCAAAAGAGTAATACTTGTCAATTTTGTATGATCTCCATTTCTACAGTACTACTTCTGAGTAGCATGATTATGTACAGTGGAGTTTTTTCTATCCTTAAATCCTTTGTGATGTCTCCAATATGGTTTACTCACAGAAGTCCAAGAGTATTGTTATTCTAAAGCTACAATAAAACATATCATATTTTCCTTTACTGAAAAGCTAATATTTCAACAGTGGAAAATGCCTATGTAAATATATGGCAATATGTTATAAAACAGAATGCACTAAAGAAACTATACTCACTTCTGCTTTACAAAGAAGCTATACACATTTCACACATTTATACATTATTTTCTGTTGAGCCTTTCATTACCATGCTATACATATGCAAAAGTGTCTGCAATAGGTCACCTTCAAAATATTCAATTCAGTTTACTTGGGACTTGTTACCTTGGTAACTTCTCATCCCTATACTACCACAGACTTTACATTACAAACATTCCGCAGAGTATAAGCATTAAGGAAACATCAATATATTTCAGTTCTACAGAGAATTCTCTCCACAATTTCCCAATAAGTTATCTGTTGTGAATAGGTCAACAATATTTGCTGTAACTTAACAGCGAATTTATGTAATAAATAAGCGTATGCATTTAATACATGACATACTATGATTGAACTGCAAGATCTTTTATTATGTGACTGCTTTCATATCAAATTCTGATATACCATTTACCAAGGACATGGAACTATGTTTGGCAATATATATATATATATATAATATGATACAAAAAGTACATATCCAGCCCTTACATAGACTAAATTATACAATCACCTATTATATAACCAAAATCAATTCGCTAAACAAAGATGAAGAGAGAGAAGACAAGAGAGGAGAGCAATGAGTGGCTAGAGTATAGGAGAGAGATGCAGCAAGATAAAATGATAAAAAAATCACATCTTAGAATGTATGTGTATAAACTAATAGAAAGTATCTTTATCATAATCACCTAATACAGGCAATTTTGTAATATCCATGTACATTACAAAAAGTGAAAAAGACCAAGACAAAAGAAAGAAAAATCAAGAGCAAAGTAAATTCCAGGTTCCAAAAATTGCCAACACCAACTAATTTAGCATGGTGTGTCTATCATAGATGTTTCTACGCTGTTCTTGCACCTGCCGCTTCCATTTGTCTTGTTGATGTCCCACACGGCCAAGGACATTGGGTCTGACGCGAAGTGGCTGTGCCATGCCTGGGGCACCTCCAACAGTGCCTGCCTCATCATCCTCATTGGTATGTTCTTGGTATGAAGGTTGTGACCTCCTCTTGTTGAGCAGTGGGTCCAGGCAATGAAGGAAGGCCATGTACACGACCAACAAGGAGATGATCCATATCACAAGGATTACTACAACCTAATGGAGAGAGAGAGAGAAAAAATGAGTGAAAACGACATGAAGACCAAACCATCAGTGTAATGCAACTTCGTAAACAACTTCAGGTAATAAATACTAATGAAAATTAATGGAATGGATGTACCTTTCAAAATCAAACATGGAGAAGTATACTGACCTATACAAAGTCAAATGCACAAGTAATTAAGTAAAAAATAGATTATTCCATGAAAATATATCCTATTACATTATCAAATTCAAAACAAAAGTGAAATTACCTTGATTGTATTACTGTTACGGCTCTCATACTTGCACTCACAACGTGGACAAAATTCTTGTTCACGGCCTTTGATATCGTCTGCTACTCTTGGTAGTACAACATTGTCACAGTCACTGAAAGAATCAGTTTAATATTTGCTAACTTAAAGTATCTCTGGACTTTCACTACATACTATACTAATATTCTTTCAATTGAAAAATTATGTATATATTATGTATTATGTATGGTTATACTTATGTACAAATGCAAATGTAATATGAAGGCAACATACACTCATAATATTAATAAAAGTTACATTTACACCAGACCATAATCGTAAAGCAAATAAAAAAAAAAAGGCAATGAGAGGAGATACTGACAGCATGAATGTGGGTTTTATTCAGTAACCACCAACTCTTTATACTACTTACCATTTGCTTGGGGCAACAGGTTCCTTGTAGACCATGCGGTTACTCTTGGTACCATTTATGACAGAAGGGTCAGGGCATATACAGATACATCTCTTATCCTCATACTGTGCCTGAAAATTAGGCAACAAATCAGACACAGGTACAAGTGGTTTCAATTCAAATATTGATAATTATATATTTTAGCTTGTTAGTCAATGCCTCTGCAGGACTTGGGTACTTTAAGTAAAAATTACTTGACACAAAAAATACAAAAACAAATGTCATAATAAGTTATTAATATGTAATGTGTGTGTGAAAGAAAAAAATATACTTTCTCTTCTGTCAAGATATGTATGCAAACTGAAAATGTTTCGAGAGTCATACATAGAATTCTTTCCCTCCCCTGAGTTTCTGTATAAAACCAGTGGGAACATTCCAGAACAGGTCTGCATCTTAAAATCCACTGTATTTAGTATTGGTGGATTCCTTAAGATGTCTTGCATGAATTTATAGTAGTCACAGTTGATGCTTGGCTACAATATTGACAATACCCTAAAATACCTGATGGCAAAATGTTTCTAAAGGAAATGGATATATTCTGAGGAAATTGAGGAGTCTAATTATGCACCATTCATATGTTTTTACTCATGCCCTACCCATGTAAGGAATGCAAAAGCTACACCATATCTGACTAGCAAGACAGAGCTCGGACAGGTCATGTGCCTTGTGAGTGAGGTCATGACTCAGCCAAGGTGGTACCTAGATATATAAAACTTGGAAGTCTACTAGTTCCAATAGCTATCATGGCTAAATTTGGTAAGTGGATCAACAGGAGCCCATTAATATCAAATTCAAAGTGTTCCAAGATTCCAATCTATTCTAAAAAGTTACCAAAACATTTACTGTTTGAAATTGGTTTCATAAATGGCACTGTTTCTTCTGACTAACTTTTTGACCATTCAGAACCTCTACTTTCTCATCCTGGACAAGTTATCCATCTCGTGCCTATTGCCTTCCTGCTAGGTGAGCAGGACTAGGATATTTTTGTGTTTGACAGTTGCGGGTAAGTTCAATATGCATCAAAGAAGTTACAAAACCTAAAATATAGACACTGGTATGATAAAACAATGAATGTTTACTTTTAAGCTGGCTGCATTCTGGGCAGTAAAGGTTTTGGAGGTTCCGAATGCAGCCTTATTGTCCTGCTAGACCTAACAAATTGTCTGGATGAACAAGAAAAGGAGTTCTGAACGCAGCATAAAGACTTCAAGCATTTTTTAAATGTTGTCTTACTTCTTTCAATCATTTTAATAAAAAAAAAAAATACACATCTGACCAGACGCTTTTTCTTTATTGTGAAGCTCATCCAATCATGGATTCTTCTTCTGTTACTTTGTGAGAAAAATATTGTAAACTTAATATCGAAATTAAAGGACATAAAATATAAAAACTTTCACCCATTCAACTTCTTATACTTAAACTAAGCTTAGTCTTAATAATTCTAACCAGTGATTGTCTAGAAAAAAAAATACAAATAAAGTATTTTCATATATAACAGGAAGCCAAAAACAAATCCTTGGGAAAAGGAAGCTATTCATCATCACGTGATACACCTTTTGTTTGAGCAAAATACCCCAAATAGAGATTATCTCTATTGCCTAACGAAAGAAAAACGATGGTAGCTAAATGGTCAACAATTCATACCTCAGTAAAAACTGCACAGAAGGAGAGAAAAGTGAGGATAAATATGTACGCAGACGTCCCCATCTTGATAGGTCCAGGTAAACAATACGGCATTCGTTGTTAAACAAATTTAGAAAAACATTTCATTTAAGAGAATGATATCACTATTTAATAATAGATTCAACTTGAGTGTAATTGATCAATGAGTATTTTTTGATATCCCATTGCAAAATGCAAACACGAATGTCATCAACGGAAAGGGGAAAAATCCTTGATTGACCGAAAAAAAATGGCCAGCCAGTTCGTGACTACTTCGCATATATTTATCTCGACCAATATCAAACAGACAAAATACAACAGACGACAGAAAATATATTTCAACGTTTATTTTGACAGTCAGCTGACCCAGCAGGAGGGCGGGGGAGGGGGAGGGCACCGGCGCTGAGTGGGGAGAGGGAAGGAGGGGAGGCGGAAAGGAGGTGCTGGAGGTGAGGTTAATGGGGAGTAGGGAGGAGGGTGATAAGGGAGAGGGAGGATAGGAGGCCGGGGTGAGGGAGGGCTCAGAGGGCAGGTATGGGGAGGGAGAGGGGGTACGCAGGAAGGAGGCAAGGGCGGACCCACGAGAAGAGGGAGGGATGAAGTAGTGGTGATTTTTGTCTCCGGTGAGCTCATTTTTTGGGTGTTTTCGGTTTTAACAGCAAATTTAACTTTTGGAAACATTTTGGTGCAAAATCTCTCGTTTATTTTTCTAACAGATTGCTACTATGTGTAAATCGGTGGGTTTAATGTGGCACAATGTGAGGTGTTATTGTTTTTGTTATTTGTTACTATTTCTGAAGTACATGTTTATGCAGTTAAGAACAACATGTGGGTTCAGTAAAGCTATTGGAAGACCATTTTGTCATTTTTGATGAACAGTATTCTATTAATGGCAACAGTAGTGGTATTTGTTACTGAGAGTGCACCCTCCAGAAAAAAAAAAACAGGGGTATCCTGCAAACTCTCAAATCCAAATGTAGCCTTTATTAGCACTTCGTACCAACTTCCAGAAATGTGACATTAAAAATTGCTGTGTAGGGTGTTGTGAACTGAGTCTTTTAGTGATGACATTCAGCGGATATTTTTTCTTCAACGAAATAGGCAGCTCGTCTTCCGTGCTTTTTTTCCCTTCTTCATCCTTGCTCCCTTCTCCTCTCCTTGAGAATCCCACCAAATACCTTGCTCGTTGTTGTCATGGGGTGGCTTAGGAGACGGAGACTGGAGCCCTATGTAGGGATTGCCTCAACCGTGGACTTCAGCCCTTCCCTCAACTAATTTTGCTCGGTCTTTTCTTCTCCTTTCCTCTTCTATTTCTTCTTCATCCCCTTCCTCTGTCTCATTCCTAAGGTGTGAGATCTTTTCACCACAGTACTTTACCATAGTGTTACGTGATCTTAGATGTCTAGCGCATTTATTTGTTTCAACCATTAACCATCCCTTGAGAATAACCCCAGGCTATTGTATATTCTGTTTGGTTTTCCTTGTTATTTTTTTTCTTCCGTTTGTTAAATGCTCTACTTCTTAATTTGATTATTTCATTGCATTTCTTATTTCATCATGGTTTATTTGGTTTATCTATATTGTAATTATTTTCAGATGTGGTGCATATTAGTCTGTATCATTTAGTAGACTAATTATGACATTTAGGGAATTTGTATTTTCTATATCTTTGGTAATCAGTTTCTAAAAAAAAAAAAAAAAAAAGAATCCATCCTTCTTTTGTACATATCCATTTCTTCTCTTTGTAGGATTATTATCTTTTATAATAACTGGGAGAGGATCACCTATAAGCGTTGAGCAGTTTCTATTTCTAAATGCCTTTGAGATTTTGTTGATAGAATCAAGTCTATTGCTGTTTCTTTTGTACTTTTGGGATCAATTCTTGTTGTTAGCCTAGGTGGTGTTGATAAGATTCTATTGCTTTGATTTTGAATATTTTGAATATACTGTATAAGCCCAAGCAACCACAGGATGACACTCTAACCCTAGCAACCACAATGAGTCCGATTGTGCACATGGAAGCGAGCACTCCCAGTTCCCTTTTCAACTTACTGTCAGGCTAATTTAACACTGATCACTTTACCAAGGGGTTTATTAATGCACTAGAAATGGTAGATGTATTTTAGATTTCATGTTGTCAATTTTTTTTTACCATTTGTGAATATTTTTTTATTTTTTTTTAAATATGTGTATTTTCTTGTTTTTTCAAATTTCTAATATATTCATCATGTGTACAATCCAGTTCTTTTAGTTTATTTTTGATAACCTCTTATGTGTATAATGAGAGTATAATGCAACTACTGGAGTGATTTTCGAGTAGCTTGTTGCTATTCTTCATGCACAAATTTGAAGGATTTTTTCTTTTTCTCTTTTCAGTTTGTGTTTTGGGCTATGCTGAAAATTGTGATACCATATTTTGTTTTAGATTTTATGGCAATATCATGGAATTAAATTATTGTCTATCTGTTTGCTCCCTCTGATGAAATTATTATTATTATTTTTTTTACATTATGTTGATTCTATTTGAGCATTTGATATGTTTTTCCTGCTTATTTTTGGTACATCAAGTTATAGATCAAGAATTATGTGGTTAGCATTGGGGAATTGAAAGAAAATAAGGATATTATGTCTGGTCTGTAAGGTTTAACATTATTTGATTTTTTATGTCTATAATTAATTCTTTTAGTGTAAGATCTTTGCTTATGCATTTAATGTGTGGCTGTTCTGTTAAATTATTTATTTCTATTTTTGCTAGTAAGCATTTTGTTTTTGTTGTTTGCTTATTATTCTTTGAACTTATTATAACAAATTAAGTTTTTATTCAATTTGCAAGATTGGTTGATCACTATCAATTAAAGGGTAATTGCTAGTTGTGTGTTAACGTGCACTTTTTTGTAACTGAAATTCCAGATCTTTTTGGTTGGTTATTAAAATATAAGTAGCAGAAAATTTCCCTATTTTTAAAATAACTTTCTTGCTTTAGTTTGTAGTTTTTTGTATTCTAATCTGTTTACTTCATTTGGCTTCTTCAACTTTTCCCCCTTATTCATAGGTTTACCATTTTTATTAATGATGCATTATAATTTGTTGTCAAAAGCCTTTTCTAGATGTATACATGCTACTAAAGCATTTTTTTTTCTTTGATGGTATTACTTATGTTTATTTCAGTTATTTATTTCAGCTTATTTCTATAGCTGTCATAGTACAGAGTCCATAAACTTTGTTTGATTTCACTTCATTCAAGTTCAGTGTTCAGTCTACAAAAGATTCTTCATTTTTCCTCCAAACCAAAATTTTCCTTTCATGACATTTTACTTGTGTATCAATATAAATATTAGTAATGTCACTTCTGTCACGGAGAGAAATGGAGCCCTCAGGTAGGCTTATATATGATATGATAGGGTGTCTTGCAGGATTTCCTAAGTCTTGTGAAAATTTTTGATGGTGGTGGGTTGCTGAGATCATGGGTTCTTGGAAAGTAGTGTCTATTTTTATTTTAGGATTTCTAAATACTAAGAAAACTTTTTAGTTACATAGTTGTGTTATAAACTGTTTTTAGGTTGTTGAGATATTTAATTTGTGATTATTATTATCATTATTATTATATATACTTTTTTCTAATCCATACTATTACATTGGCTTATACCTGGCCATTGTGAAAATTTGCATCTTGACTAAGACCAACCAGTGTCCACCAAAATAACATTGATAGATTTCCATGGTGATTTATTATCAAATATGAAATCAATCCAAATCTCTGTTGCAAAACTATATTTGGTGGAGATTTTTTGGCCAGTAGTGATGCACCAATTGACACAAAGACTAGACCTATGGCAATTATGTAAAACTGTGCCACTATCAGGTTGGGCTTGATTAAAGGTTTTTCATCACAGGTCAGCTTCAAGTAGATTTGAATAGAAACAACCATTTAATAACAAAAAAAAAAGTTCCATTTGAAAACCAGTGCAATCAGTTGGAAAGATTTTTTTTGATTCCTTTGTTATACACATGCTGGAATCTTATTCCAAAATTTTGGCAGTTGTGTTTAGGAAAAGGTTCACTTCATGTTGAATATGTATGGTATGTACAGGTTTGTGCCAGTCTTTTTTTTTCAGAACAGAATGAGATTAGCAGTGTTTTCATTGATTACAAATTAGGTTTGCATCCTGATTAAAATCTGAAAGATAAACTAGTATTCACTAATGGATTCATTTTTAAAAAGGTTGTGCATTGAGATCTACTGACTGAGAGAAAAGGAAATTGTTACTCTGAAAATAAACAGATACAAAGAAACATGGTCTAAAAAGAAAATGTTTGACCAGTTTACACCTAGTGCTGTAGTGTTTTTGTAATGTTGTGTGTTTGCTTATCTGTGTCTGTCCATCTCCCCCTCCCATTTCTCTTTGTCTATATCTGCTTATCTCTGTAATTATCAACCTGTGTAAATATGCATGTAAATATCTGTTTTTCTGCATGTATTTTTTTATGTTTGAGTATGTATGTGGATGTACATGTACATGTGTGTTTGTGCTGCATATTAAAATTTATATAGATATTTGATCATGCTTTCCAGAAAATTGTAAGATAATGAAGCACACACAATGATGGATTTTCTGGCTGAGAATAATGTCTGTGGGCAGACCCTGCTCCGGCTTGTGGCAAGGGCAAATTCCATTATTGCAGAGTTGATGCGTTTATCTGACTATGTTCCTCAAGTATTCAGGTAATTGCTTTTGTCATTGTTGTGAGTTTTCAATTTTATAGTAATGATTATTTTTATTTCAAATACATTATCTGGATCATATTAAAGCAATATTTTATGACAGAATTTCCTTTAAATTGATTAATTGCTCATACTTTGGAAACAACCTAATTTTCCTTAATTGATATAATGAGGTATTGTGATGATGCAAATTCTTTTATTAACATTTCAGATTAGAGACTAAAGTTGAACAACAGAAGTATGGAGACGTTGTTTTGGATTTTACTTATTTCAAAGCCCCTGAAGGTTTTAATAAGAAGATTGAAGATACAGCTGTAAGTGGTGTGATTTGTTATTGTATATCACAGCTGGTCAATATATTATAATTTTACTGATTCTGTAATGATTGCCTAGAATTTATGTGGTAGTATTTTGTGATTATATTACAATAAGCCCTTGGACACTATACAGGTATTTAAGATGAATATTCTAAATATCATGAAAATATAAAGTTCAAGTGAAAATTGATTTTTGAGATCAGGAAATATTACCAA